TTAACAATAAAGTTTAAAAAATAATGTGGAGCCGGATGAATCTGTTAGGCCATTTCGCAGGTCCTTCACCGCCGTGTTCCTACCCTTCTTTGTGCGTGACCTTCGGCGCCAAATAGGAGCAGCGTCCTTTTAAGGCAAGAGAGTCTTGAAGGCCTGTCACGAGGGCATGCCAGGGGTGTCGCACCCGACGCTCGGCACATGCAGGCGCTCGTAAACAGTGGTCGATGACGTCAAACAGCCGCTTACATCACACAGCTACTCCGCAGTGTCATTAACGTGAGCAGGCACCAGATGAAAAGCCATGCCTCCAAATGTGGGCCCTGGGCACAGAGAACCCCGCCTATAAAATGAATACTTAAATTGTGCATTTTGGCACGCAAATCAACACGAGGCGTTCATTGTCCAAAAAAGGTATTGAAAGTTTAAAACCATAAAAGGTTATAAGGCTGACATTTTATTTCTATACAAGACATTTTGTGTATCAGCGTGCTTGTGCTGCAGTTAGGTGAGCGTATGTGGCCGCAGCGGAAGGAAACGGCAAGAAGAGACGAAAACAACAGCTCATTCAAGCCCCACAAACAACCACCCCCCCCCCCGCCCCCGCTTAGTTCATCCTCATAACTGCGGTTACCCTTGCAGAATAAGAAAAACAGGAAAAAATGTCACGCTCTACTGTGTAAAGCCACAGTAGAGAGCATGCTCCCTCTAAACCCCACACCACACGCCTGCCACCACATCACCACCCCCCTACGCACCTCCGCTCCCCCACCACGCTCCCCCACCACAATCACCGCGGGGGGGGGGGGGGGGCTCCTTCAATCAATGACTAAACTCACCTACCCCCCCCCCCACCGGAGACAAACGCTTGCTGAACACGGCTGCTGCGGAGCAAATCGACCTTCGCGAGCGCAAGCTCGAAGGAAGACCGACGCCAAACCAGCCTCAAGCAAACCCACCCTGGCCCGTGCCACGGCACACACCGCGAAGGGCGCCGGAACACGACGGCATTAAACGACCAAGCTCGGCAGGAATGGCAGGCGTGCCCATAATGGGGGAAAAACTGACGCGTGCTATTTGAATATATTTGTTTACCCAATTACTACGGCATGCAGGGAAAGGGGATGGGACTTGGAATTTTAATTTAAAGTGTTTGTTGTCTTGTGAAGAGGTAGGAGTTAGGAATGTGTTAATTTGTTAACAAAAGAGAAGGGGGGGGGGATGTATATATTAACTCCATTAACTCAAAGATTTGGCATGAAGTTAATAAGTAATGCAACAGAAAGCTCTTATTTTCTAAATATGTACCGAGGATGTGTGTCCTACTTAAGCTTGAAACTTCATTAATTACAAAAAACTATTGAAAAAAATCATAGCTCATGACATCACCAAAGCGTGATCAAATAATTTGTCTGCATCAGCGTTAATGGCTAAATCAATAGAAGTGATATCATAAAGGTGCTATAATGATGCCTTGAACTTTAATGTAAAAAATAATTATCATTAACAAAGCTTCACCACGTTGGACAGTTATTTGCTGGACAGCTGATTTGTGTCTTCATTTTGAAATTGTATTCACAGTCAAGAAAAAAAAATTGTTCTTAGACCTCCACTCCTTCCCTTGTTTATTTTAACCATTTTTTAAAAACATATTTATTCCATTGTCTTGTCCCCGTCTCCACTGGCTGCCGGGCGCCAGGGTGGCATGGCTTGCCCAGCATTCTTGGGGTCGGCTCACGGGGGAGCCAGCTTTATTTAACCGCGGGTCACGGCAGCTGCAAGGGAGGGGCGACCGCTGTTCTTGACCTTGGGGTGTGTTCTGGCCGCTGCCCCGCTGTAGTGAGCTGCCGCTCTTTGTCGAGCTAAAACGGGCACTCGGTAAAATAAGAAAAAAAGCGCCTAAAAACAACAAGAGCCACCGTTCCTCTGCAGTCCCCTCCCAGCCAGCACGCGAGCGTGGCAATGGCATGCTCTACATGTCGACTTGCGGTTCAGAGACGATTGTCTTTCTTTTCTCAAACTCACGCTGCCTCCATCCTCTCCCTCCTCTGACCCACCCAACCCCACCGAGCGGAAACACAAAACTGACATTGCTGTCAGAGGGAGGAGGGGGAGGCCAGATCTCCACCATCTTGCCCACGTGAAACAGCAGTCTAGCTCGGTCCCCCGCCCTGTACAGTTTGCAGGTTCTACGACGAAGAACCTGGTATCGCACGCACAATCACATTCCCGGCGAGGCACAACAAACAAGGCACCCAGCAGCGACAGCAGTAAGCCTGGCTTACAGCTAAACAAAGTCTCTTCACAAATTATTACGGGGCGAAACGTTGGGACTTTTCATACGTGGAGGTCGTTCATCGGTTATCGCAGAGTGCTGTGCTGGGTCTAACTGTACTCCACTAGACCTCTTGCCACATGGGTGTTTTAGATTGGATTAGGACCCAAACAGATGGACTCCCTTTTATGGAGATTTCTATGCGTGCGGCCCTGCTCACGCCCCACATGGTGCTGGACGGCTGCGACTTAGTCGGATGGGAGATCCACACAAGCTAGAGGCAGCCATAAAAAACACAGGGAGCTTCTTCCCCATCCAGCTATGAATGGGAAGCTGGTGCTGCCACGGTGTCCGCTTAGCAACCAAGTGTCCCGCATCTGCATCAAGTACATGGTTCTCAAATGCACGCATTGTTAACGCCAGATTATTTTGAAGCAACTCATCGTCCACACGTCCGCAGGCCCATATCGTAAGAATAAGACATCCTGAGATTTAATGACTGCGGAATAATACATGACCTGCGCTATCGTTATTTAAATTAGCATTTTTATTACCGTGAGCATTATAGCCTCCTTAAAACCATGGGCTGGCAGTATTGCCATTGTTGCTCCCCATGCAACAGCCGCACTGTGTTAGTCAATTATAATGGTTCAATCCGCTAGCCAGGGGAATTGAAAGCTATCGGAATTTCCTGCATTTGCCATGAGTTCGAACGTGCGGAAGACTATGGCGTGTAGCGGCATGGCTGCAAGAGGCAGGGATGCACTGTAAGTGGGAGAAAGCCCTCGGAGGAAGCAAAAGGCAGCCCCCTAAGCAGCAGAGCTCTCGGAATTTCAAGTGCTCGACACAAAGGGGCAAGAATGATGACTGTGATAACCACATGCATAATTTTTACCTCCCTTCACAATCACCTCCTCAACTCTTCAGAGCCATTTTTATCCTGGCTAAAGGCACGTCTCTAAAGCCATGCAGCGTGGTTAAGGCACTCGGGCTTTGACTACAGCATGAAAGCATATGTAATTGCACACAATCCCTTTAATTAAGCGTATTATACACCTTATTAGGCACAAACTTCATGCGCAGATACAGTAACGAGATGTTTGCAACTGCGATCGGAGTATGGTCACTTGGGTTTTTGCGAACGCACGTTACGGAACGATTTCAGCGTGACCCTTGCGAAAGCAAGGCCGCGTGTGTGACAATCAGCCTCCAACGCGTCAGGTGGAAATAAGAGGACAGCGCAGGCACGTCAGACTCATGAGGGCATGACAGCAACGATGAATGAAACTACAGATAATGGGCTCAAACACTTTAACGAGTGGCACGGCATTTCAGGCGCAATTATAAAATAATTATAGCTCTTAGGTGAGAGGTTGTAAAGGGGAGCTCGGTTAAACAAGTGAGCTGTGAAGCCCTCATGGCTGAGTGGAAAAGCGTTTAAAATAGACACCCGATTTCCTGTGCCGTTACAGGCCACGCACATGTGAATATTTTATAGTGTACAACAGGGAATCCTGCAGCTTCCAGGACGAGCGGGTGCAGAAGACCTTTTCCCCGGCAGCACTTTGCCGTGGCAAACGAGGCAAACATTTCTCTCCTCTATTTCCTGGAACATTTCTTTTCATCAGGGAAATTTACGGGCTCAAGCACCGACACAATTTTTCAACCGAGACGCAGCCAAACGCAGCGGCGGTGGCGGCAACAACCCTTATGCCAGGAGGCCGCCGAGCGGCGCTGCGGATGAAGCAGGACGCGACGTACACGCCGTCTGCCACGCACGAGAGACTGGACACACTGCCACCTTGCGTGGACATGTTCTTTTTGGCATGTAACGTTTCACTCCCCAAGCGATGAGACGATTTATTATAATTTGGGGTCAAGATTCCACCCGCGAATAGATTCGGGGGCAACACCCTATCCCCGTACAGATGATAACAAATGGCGCTCAATCCACTTGCCGCACTGCCTTCTCTCCTGGCGATCCAGGGTATGGCTCCTCCTCGACGACCATGAGAAGGGAGTTTCACAACATTTGTGTGATCCACCGACCCTCGCCTCCGCAGTGCTGATTACAGGTGTGCGCTCATCACCGCCGGACAAACATGGAGCCTAGCAAAAAACTCAAACTGCCCATAATATCACCATCGTATCGGCAGCACAAAGGCTCGGGAGCAATAGGCTTCAATTATAGGAAATATTTTTGATTACGCCCAACTGAGTCAGCTTAGGTGGGTGATGGAAGAAGCAGGGCCCATGCCAAGTTAACCACTTTGTTTACCACACAGCGACAATGCATGAGGGGTTGAACCCCTTTTAAAGACAGCTCATATTTACATTAGACACACACCTTTCAAAAACAATCAATCAATCGATCTTCGGCTGGGGCGGCCCTTCAGCTGCTGTCCGCCACATGCAGTGCGTGCCGACCCGGCCGCTGCCCGCCTTCCCACCCGCCCACTTTTAGTTGCCGTGACAGAACAATGGGACCATAGATTTTTAAGATCAACGCATGCCCTCTGATTTTCTGTTTGGCTTTGAAAGAAAAACGTTAAAGTAAATGTTGTCATGAGGACCCAAACCATCGTTTGCCATCAACAAGTGGTACACTTGCCCCCACCGAAGGAGGCTGTTGCTATGTCCCTGACCCATCATCATGAACCCAGGCACTCCCAACAGAATCCGTGCATGTCAGAGCGTGTCCTGTAGGTGCGTGCATGCATGCACTCACCTGTGTACGTATTTCAGCTCGTGAATGGAGTGAATGGCGAGCACCATCTCTGCGACGTAGAATTTTGCCATTTCCTCTGGTAAACGATCCTCAAACTTGCTGAGCAGCGTGAGCAGGTCCCCACCCACGTAGTAATCCATAACCAGGTACTGTCGGAGGTAGTCACGTGCACACGGGCACGCACACATGACGGAGGAAAATGTTACACACATTGCAATGTATCACACGCAAGAGCATGCATGTGCAAGGCAAGACTTTAGGCTGGTGCCGCCTTGCATGCTCATTTTCGACAAAAGATAACATTTCGTGAATAAAGAGCACCTGGATTTTTTTTCCGTATGTGTGCCTGGTTATGTATCAATTTATCCATCTACTGAGTCACAGTATGTCATTTATAATCTTGTGATTACATAAGGTCACCAAATGTAACATTTGTGATAAAAATGTGCTGGTTGCCAGATATCAGCTGTGCCATGCATGCGACCTAACCTTTCACCTCAACTCTACAGTCATGCCAAGCTGCTTAATGAACAAGACAAACTGCACTGCACAATAACCAAACATCTATGTCCCTCTGTGGATAGCCCTGAGCCACAGGCATCCTGCATTACAATGTTGGGCACCCATGTACACAAGGAGATCGGATGCAAAGGTCCAGACACGTGGAATCACATGACAACTTGCTGGACTGCAACCTTGGGACCACCTCGCTGCCTAGCAGGCTTTGCCGTGTCTCCAATATATGTAATACACTGACCCTTGCTTCCGAATCGTTGCATTACAGGCACCCAACTCGATGCATTGTAAATTAAATGCACAACAAAACAATCCGAATTAAACACAAATGCAACCACGTAAACATTTCACAGCGCATGGTGACAATCACGATCATAAAACAAAATCTTTCGGCTTGGCTTCACAGATGCACACGTAGTAGGCGATTGCATACAGGAGGTGTTGACCCACCAGATAGTTCTCATCCTGGAAGGCGTAGTGCAGAGTAGTTATCCACTGGCTGTCGCCTCGCACCAGGACGTCCCGCTCTTCCCGAAAGCACGCCGTCTGCACATACAAAGCAGTGCGAAGCATCACGCAATGCGATCCCCAACCACCGCTAAACCCGGCATTGACAATGTGCGCCAACAGTGAAATGGCCGCGAGAGCAGCAGACGTGAGCCGCGCCAATGGGTCAGTCCATCCCCAACGTAAATGCCACGTAATTATTCAGAAAAGGCCCACCCGAGTCTATGGGACTCTTTTTTCAGGACGGCCCTAAACATTGGGATGTTTGGCCAATTCCGTTATTGAGCGTTTGTTGAGCCGAGGAGTGTTGCCGAGTGTTAGCTGGTTAAATTTTGATTTAAAGCTGGTTGCCGAGCCATTTGAATTGCCTGTAAGATGTGCAGTTGCATATACTACGTGTATGAAGGTATAAGCTGTAGCAAAAAGTAAAGGGATTTCACAAATAAAAGGGTTTTTTACACAAAGACCAGGCTTAACGTTTTCAGCTGTGTACTGTGTGTAATAAGCTTTTTATAGTGGCAACATTTTGACATATAATTGGAATGCACTCAACACGTGCTGGGAACTTACAAGAGGAATGAATGGGCACTGTTAACGTTCACATCTCCCTTGCAAAACAGATTATGCATAGCATTTCTAGAAACTGGACATACGAACCCAATAGGCTAATTTTAACATAACGTTTAACAAAGTGTATGAAAGTATAACACTGTTAGGGTTCATGGTAGCCGCAGCGTATGGATATGTCAATTTTAATTGTTGTGTCGGGTAACTTGAGTCACAGTATGTTTTTTATAAGAAGGGGGGGGGGGGGGGGGGGGGGGGGGGGAGTCGGCCAGAACACCAAAATGTCCCTTTCCTCTTGGGGACAAACAAAATTTCGGCATATTTTGCCTTGGTCCAATGGCAGCCCTATATGTTAGAGGCGGTGCTCGCAAGTCTTGTGACAGCGTCTCGAAGTCACGCAGAGCACAGCCTAGTGTGGGAACAAGCAGCCACAAGCGCACAACGCTCTCGACGGACGACCCCCCCCCCCCCCAACAAGCAGCGGAAGGCAGGGCCCTGTGTGGGTGCCGCGCCACAAACCAACACTGAAGGGTTCAGCCGAGGTCATTCATCTATGGGACACAACCGTCGCAAAATTACACCAGTCCCAGGGCTGTCTGGCACGTTTATGAAAACGCAAAGCTTGTTAGCGAAACATCGGGTGTCTGATGAACAACGCAAACTATTTGCAGCAGGAAATGCCACAGCGTGACAGCCTGCGGTTTGGTGAGTGCATTTCTTCTGCTCAAATAGTGCGGCACCGCAGTTGCATGAAGGAAGCTATTAGGATCAAGCGATCTTATCCACTGTCGTACAACAAAATAATTAGGACACTGCAAGCATACATTTTTTATCATTTAACTAATGAGCTGAAATTTGAAACACGAACCCAGGCCGAATGCCAGGTAATTTTTGCACTTATTTACACTGCTCCTAAGACTCATTTCCACAGATTGCTGAGATAGCTATAAAGTACATAGGAAATGCAACAATTAATACATCTTCCTACCATTAATTACACCCAAAGTTCAAGCCCCTAATAATCCTTCCAGGGTCAATAAAAGAGCACGACTTCGTGGAAAGTCAATCGTGGCTATATAATGCTTGAAACTAAACTGACAGTTTGAAACTTATGGTTAATTTTCGTGACTAGTGGTATGTGGGTTCGATGGCCCAGGAATCGTCCAAGGTAGTACCACCCGGGCTGGGATCTTGCTCCAATGTTGCATGAGCCCCATGACTTTGTGAGCAAATCGCCTCCTGCTCTGTCCCAAGCCCTTCCTATCCTCCAAAGCCGCAAGAAAATGATAATAAAAATGGGTGTTTAAAAAAATATATACCTTCTTGGAGACTTGTATTAGGTGAGGCTACCGCAATCTAGTAAGAAATATATTTTCGTAGTTCCTTGTCACAGTTTTTATGTTTCAAGAAAAACACGGCCCTGCAGTTAACATCAGTGAAGGGACGCCACTTGCTGAACGGTGATTCCGTGACATCATAACTGGTTCAGAGGGTGATCCAGGTAAAAACGTAGGGCGCTTCCGTACAAAAGGAAGCCAGTGGGCCTGCCATCCGAGTTTGGTCACCCCCATAAAGCTGCAGTGGGAATTTCGGCCGAGCCCAGTTCACAAGCCAAAACAGCTCTCTTGCCAGTGGCCGTGGTAACGCATCAATAGAAGACATTGGCCCCCTCAGTACGAGACTTGTGAGATTCTCACAACTGGCGCAGGACCGCAAAGCTAGCAAGACGAGCACAGCCCGATGCTCGTTTGAACAGTTTGCAACTTTACAGATACTACGTTGTATTTGTGCAGAGCTGCGGTAATTTTTGTGGCCATTACTGTAAGCGCATAATTCAAGAAGCCGGCGCAGAGTTTACGGAGCCCGTGTTTAGGCGACCGCAACTGGGGCGAGAAGGAAACACCCACGCTCCTCCGGGCGGTCGCTGAAAGACAGTGTCCATGGTATTGCGCCTTTCCGGACATGCACCGTTGAGGCTGTACGCGGGTGGCACCACACGGGCATGTGGGTCGATCAATCGCACACCTACGCGTGCTGTAGCCTCACAGCGTTGCCACTCCCCGCCGGCTTGCACAGGGAACCAGGTCCGAAGCCAGAGCCCCGTGACAAGGGTAGGCAAATGGGTTGATCGCCGTTTAAAATGAACGATTTCTTACACCGGCTGACTTGCGAATTTCGCTTGAACATTTGAAGTGAAATGAAGCATGGCTCGAAGATGCAATTAGCCATGACCGCGCACCAAAAATCTGGCGCAAATAAGCACATGAAACAAATTCTTTGAGCTGAATTGGCAACTTCCCGCTGTTAAAATCAAGATGTAAAATTACTGTTAACGACTGGTAACATGAACGTTATGGGCATTCTTTCAAGCACGGACAAATGACAAAATACTTATTTCTAGTAAAACACCGAGCAGCAGCGCACGCATTCCCAGCATTTGCGACTCGAGCACTGCCTGTTAGAAAACAAATACTCCATGCTTTACATAAGATTAAATCGAGCAGTATAACAAACAATATTGTTGCCATCTGCACTATCCCAAACACAGCCGCTTAAATGCTATTTTCTCAATGTCCTAGCAGTGGCCTCCAATCTGATCAAGCTCATCAAATCTGTTCAGACACAATTCTTCCTTGTTTGCTCGACACATGGAACACCTCATTGCGATGCAATCTGACCATCGAGGGGAGTGGGGGGGGGGGAAACACCCACCCACCAAAAGAGTAGAGCATAAACCATCCACGGTGTAATTAGGTTTTCGCGTGATCAGTATGATCTTCGTCTCTCACCATCTCACTGCTCGCACTTTCTTTAGGCAACGCTTGCGCACAATGCCAAGCGCGCACACGCCGGCAGCGTTTTAAGGGGACCGATTTGGGAAACGTCTCTGTGCGGGAGCGGCGGTGCGTGGGGGGCAGCTGTGCATTGGTGGGGAGGCCCCGAGTGGGGAGCGACCGTAAAGCGAGATGGCAGAAGGAGTCTCTGGGCCCATGCAGTGTCCTGGGTGCAGGAGGTCAGCGCAGGCTTTTGCCGAACCAGACTTATTTACTGCGCCGTAAATCGGGTGACAGAAAGGTTAGAGAATGGAGTTTTATTTGAGCTGCAAAAAATACTCCAACAATCGTTGACCGTGTACACAGAATCCCATGAGTTAATGAGGTCATTTAAGAAAAAAATTAGATGAAGTTAAACATACTACATGGCTGTTTTGTTACTGTAGAATGGACCATATGTTTTTAGTGATCTCTGGGCCCATTTTTTTTGGTGCATGCTGCATGAGATACCCATGCCTTTATTACATCCAAACACTGCCAGAAAAGGGAGTGGTGTGCCCATCGGCACATCCAAACGCAACGCTTTTGCTCTATCGTCAGAGGCAGCACTTCTGAGTGAGAGATAAGCCCCTCGCTCGGCAAGCCAGCCTGCCCGCGTGCGTGCCGTGTTCGACTCAGCAATGCCATTGCCAAGAGCAATGTGCCATGGAGGGCTGTTGCACAGAGGGCTATGTACCATGTGGTAGCAAGCTTGAACTGAAATAAAATAACCAATAGAAGGCCAGCCCTGGAAAAACACGGGTGCAGTGGCACGCATGCCAATGGGCACACGGTCAGTTACTGCCATTTACTCTAAGTCAACAGGCGTATATTTTTCCAATGTCTGAAGATTGTCATAAAAGCAACAAAATTAACAAACAAAAAATTCCCGATTGACATTCTCTAATAGAATGTATTTTAATTCGAGAGGCTGAAACTTTTTCCTTAAGATCAATATTAATTAAAACATTCAACTGATTGCACAAATACTTACTCAGTAACATGGGGCGAGAATAATTTGTCAGTGGGAGTACAAAAAAAACATACGGTACTGTATATACATTTTCTTATTGTGTTTATTTTCATTTAAAATGTATACTCTGCGGCTTAGTGCTGCAATTCTCATTTCCATTGTGGACCTGGCATCTCTCCATGCTGCAGTTTTATCAGAAGAGCTAACAGAACCCATGATGTATGCGCACAGGGACCAGTTGTACAGCCCCCTGCGTTTATAATCAGTCGAAATGATTACGTGCACGATCATGTTTTAAAAATACACCGAGCATCCACAGCAGGCAAGTGTGTGGTTGAAGGTCCGATATTAATTTATTTTTTACTGTGCACACCTGACTTCTTAAAGTGAACCCTTGACTACACGCATTATGATATTATTACAAAACAGTTTTGAGAACTAATAGCAGAGCCTATCACACTGCACCCCAAATGAAAGTCATGAAATCCTTTGCTGCTTGCCTTAACGTAATGCACGGATGTTGGAAATTTACATTACAAGGCTCAACTTATTCTGTGAAAAAAATAACCACTGGAGTGGCTTATACAAAGGCAAAACAATGAACTAAACTGTAGTGGGCTGCATTCATTTCATTTTGTTGTTTTGGAAAGGAAAGTATAATACTTAATGAAAATAAAATTAAAACAAAATAATTTTACCTGGCCTCAATTCACTGTGAAACTTCTGAGATGACTCAGGATCACATGGCATTTCACCCTCATTAAATCAGGTCCGTAAATGCTTGTAAGAGCATGCAGGGCAGGCACATAACATGAAAATAGTTTTGAGGGTGTTTGCAAATACGCATAACCTCAAGGCACACGAACCTCCGCTCGCTTCAGCATCTCCCACTTGTTTAGGATCTTCATTGCGAACACCTTCTCGGAGCTCTTCAGCTTGACCACGGCCACCTGCAGGGCAGCAGAAACACAGCAGGGCAGTAGCGATCAAGCGTAGCAGCAGTGATCAAGTGGGAAGCTACTCGCAAATGCATATTCTCACACGACACACGCCTGCCTACACAGAAACCCAAGTCTTCAACATCTGCAAAAGGCAAAGTAAAACCTGGTCGTCGTCACCCCGGTTATGACCTATCCACTTCTGGATGAGAGCCACCACAAGCTGGTGCTATCTCTCGTTGTCCTGCGATGTAACAATCCTCCATACACCCGGACACAAGCCGTTGTTTTCTGGTCCAGGAACAGGTGACATGTACGCACGCTTGCCACAAAGTTTATGCGGGGCAACCTTTACAAGCCCCTTTATTTGCTCATTTATCACAGAAAAGTGCCTTCCAGTGACGGATATTAAACTTGAGAAGCGGGAAAAGATCACCAATGGCAATGTCAAAACATTGCCTGGTGATCCTGGTTCGTGCAATGGGATCATCTCGGAAAAACCACTGCAATCTCTCACTGCTTCGATAGAGACCACAAATACCTCAATCTGGAGTCATGCCTCACTTCAAAATGCGCCAATCTCTGTCCAGTGTAAAATCTTCAATTGCCCAGGGCTACTGTACCCATATCCCTGAAGTTAGGACAGCACCCTCTCCTGGAATGGCGTGCACATTCCTGTTCACCGCTGGTCCCGACACGTCACCCATTTTGTATTCTCAGAGCCGATTACGATCAAATGCGGCACAGCCGTCGATTCTGGGACAGATTTCTCTGAGTGTTCCGAGAGCTGGGGGCTGAGCCCCCCTGCCACCTCGACTGTTATTACTGGCAGGTACTTGCGAGTGTTACTTGTGCATTCATTTTATGGACCGTTCAACAATGGTCCTTTTGTGCAAACAGAAATTTTTACTTTTTATTTCTAAAGCGGTAATTTGTCAAAATCCGTTTCGCTCACAAATCCTTTTATGGTTCACACAAGAGAAAGGAAGTAAAATATAGGTAAAACTACACAAGGCATTCCTTGCGGTGTGAGATATTTCAATTGATGCAAGTTGGACATTATTGACGGCTTAACAATCTCGGACGTCTGGCAACACAATTGTGCAAATGAGCAGGTTTCACCACAACACACATACGTGCAGCTTATCAGACAATCGACCCGTGGAGTGGAATGCTGACTTCTCAAAACAGACTTCAATCGTGTGGTCTGAATTACAGTAATAAATAGGGTACTTGACAGTCTTCTTACTGCCAATGAACACGAGCGCAGCAGGGCCACTATTACCAGGGAAAGAGCCCGATGGCAGATAGCGACACCTGGCACAGCTGGTCCACTTGTTACTCTTTTCCCTACCATGCTTTCCTTCTGCTTTGCACCCCCATTCAAAATAAATAATTGACGTGTCTACCAGGTGTAAATGTAGATCTGTTGTGGAAGAAAATCGTCCATTAATTTTATTTTAAGTGCCGTGCCGCTATTTCAAATATTTTCATAAGCCACCCTTTGTCTGGCTCTGCACAATTGCATTTTAAGGCGAGTGAACTCATAATTGCCAAGTACTTTGGCAAAATTGCAAACACATGAGCTGCAGAAGTGACCTTCCTCACCGGTCTTGCTTCATTGCTACAGTGGTATCACAATTATATCATGATTAATTTTTAAAAATTCATAATACCGTTGCACCCAAAGAAGAAACATTTGACAAGGAGATTACTAACCAAAAGATCGGCTCTTAATTTCAATAAGTTGGAAACGTTTTGAAATTATGTTTTTCTCATGTTTTTTTCCTGTGAGGTTTGGAATTCGCCATTTTGCAGCACCAAAAAACTTGAAGCCAAGTCACTATTCTGATATTTATAATAAAGCTGCAGATATAATAATATAATTAGTTGGTATTAATTTATACAAATTTAATGCCGCCCAATATACACCCACAGAAGAGACTCGGAGCGGCCTGGCAGCTGTCGATACTGGGCAACTTGATTAAACTTCCACGAAGGACTCACCTCCCCAAAGGCACCTCTGCCGATGACTTTGAGCATCTCAAAGTCTTCCCGATGCAACCTCATCTCTTTGACACGGGTTGTGAACGGCTTGGCTGTGGAGTGACAAGAAAAAGAGAAAAACAAAGACAATCTTAGACAAGAGAAAAACACACGTTGATGTGTAAGCCACAGCCAAGGAATAAACCATGCTGTAAATAAGCCACTGCCGGGAAAAGTGTGTTGAGAGCAAATTTAATTGACGGACAAAGCTGGGTAAGCGTGATCACATAACCCAGTGGAAACATGCATGAGGCAGGAAATGCACTGCATCAAATGCAATCAGATACAACTCCAGCACCGTTTTCAAATAATTTTTGAAGGGATATAAATTGTATTTCAGGATTCAAATTTGCTTTACTTAAAAACCAAAAAAAAGCTTGTGGTAGCTGTGCATCCGTGATTGGTTTATACATTATGTTATTGAACTATAACAGAAAAATACAAACATTTCACATGAAATTCTGACAATCAAATGAGTTGATTTAAGGAATAATCAACACATTAAATAACATGCCTAAAAGCAGTGATTTGTCTACATTTACATGGTGGGTTAAAAACAGTGGCAAAACATTCTGGGTGGTAAGTAAAAGCAGAGGAGAATTGACTCCCCACTGTAGGGAGACTCATGGGAGGACAGTGAATGAGATTGGCATGTTTTTGAGCAGTGGATTACGTTGTTTATCGGTGGAGGAATTAAATGGCAGAGATGAGCAGGGGTGAGGGCATCATGGACTCTGAAGATGGGAGAGATTTTGTTGACGCAAAGGCAAATGGAAATCCAGTCAGAAAGGATGAGAGGCGACAGATGCTGCACCTTTTCAAGACAGGTGCATTTTGTGCACGCACTCTTTCGCGGTAAGGCTACAAATGGATGCGCTGTGTGAATTCAATTCCAAGTGGCTACGTGTGCAGGAGTAGCGCGCGCTCCGTCGCCAAACCAACCGCCGGCAGTGTGACGCACGCTGCCCTAATCCTGGGCACACACCCTGGGGGGTGGGGTCAGGAAAAACCTGGCAACGGAGCCGGCCATTGCGGACCCTGAACCAGCCATTGTGATCCAGGCCGGTGGGGTTCAGTGTCGGCATGGCACAAGTTAGAACGCGGGAGTTAAGGGGGATTCCTCCTCGTTGCAGTTGGTTCTACGCGTATTAGACAAACCACCACCAAACCTCTTAACACCTCCGCTACCCCTCCACCACTCCAGATGTGTTTGGTAATTTTACAATTAGCACAGGGACTCAATAATGAATGAACAGGGTAATTTTTTTGACTCCCTAAAAATTACCATGTTGTTGTTGCTGCTTAACTATAGATGATTCACAGGATGAGGAAATAATTCGTTAGATTTAAATATGCCACTTTTGGTGTGATTAAATACTGGTAAGAGTCAGGTGCTGGTGTTGCGATTTTACAATGACTTTGGTTTATGTGAGGTTTATGATCAGGTTCTAGAGCACCCATCAAGCTTCTTATAAATGCGCAGCCAGTTTGAAATACTGCACAGACAATAAACACTGTTACACAAGCAGCATCATTGCCATGTGAAATGTAATAATTGCGAAGCATATAACTCCCCACATTGTGTTTAGAGAGTACACCCAGTGGCAAAGAACACAAGTAAAACATACCAGCTGTCTCTTTCTAAATAGCATTTCATGTCAGGACACTTTAGAATTGCATGAAGCACTTGTTCAAAATTAATTTAGACAGAATGTTTCCAGATGCTACAAGAAATATGAATCTCAAAAATAAAACGATTGCAACATGCCATCACTGACTTAGTAAAATTTTATTTTGTACAAAATGAATGAACACGGACAGGCCTAATTAGCATCTAATTAGCAGGGCTAAACAATGGGCAAGCTATAGCACCTGTTACTAATGAATAGAATGTGGCAAGAAAGCATTGTAGATATAAACAAGACGGGAAAGCTGACAAAGTGGAGCAGCACCACCGTGGCGAGATGTTAACTACCTCGCCTGGTATACATACAGGAGGTCGTGGGTTCAATCCCAACCCCAGTGGTCAACGTGGATTTTTCTCCGGGTCCTCCGGTTTCTCCCTGCGCATTTAGAATCGTGCGTTTAGAGTATTTGGCCGCAACACATTTCCACACGGGAAGCCACTTCGTCGAGCTATCATTTGCGGCCAGGTCGCTTCTGAAAAAGATCTATATAGCTAAGTGGACCTTACCTGGTAAAATTAAAAAAATATTATTAGATTAGAAAAGATTTGTGCAGAACAGAGGTTACCAAACCAGGCACACCTAGGGGTCTGAGACCAAGCAGAAGGTTATAACATATGTAGAGGAGTACCGCGAGTACACAACGAGGGGCAAGCGCGGGAAGGGGGGCAAGCCAAGGGGCGAGTGGCAGAAGGTCGAGGCATGAGGGGAGGTCGAGAGAGACGTCCACTAAAGGGGGAGCCTGGCGGAAGGGAGCAGCCCGGGCAGAGGGGATAAAAGGGGGACCCCTCGAGAGAGGGGAGGAGAAAAAGAGAGAGGAAGAGCCGGAGCGAAGAGGTCCCGGGCCAGCCGAGAGAGGGGGGCTGTGTGTGGAGACGTAAGGGTAGCCTCGAGAGAGAGTCGGGAAAGGAGTAAGGGATGGGATGTAGCGAGCACCCGCCACGGGGCTAAGTGTGGGGTGAGGGAGCGTGGATAGAGGGAAGAATAAACGGCAAGCAGCCCAGAGTAATCAACCCTGGTCTCTGTCTGGTTTAGCAATCCTCCCTGGTGTCAAGAGTCCTATTCTACACATACATGGTGATAATGTCATTATAACTGGGGTCCCTCACATATCGAAAGTGCAACAAGCGGAGACCTAAACCCAGATGGTGGGAGACTGTGATAGTAGACCTTGGAGGTCAAGAGTCAAATTTACAATAGCTGCGGGAACCTAGCTAAAGGAAGCTATCGGTAAAGTGTGATGGCATCACTGGCATTGACCGTGGTGACCTATTTCCAAGATGGGTGGAGGTTTATTGAGCTGAATAACATGGAACACCCATATGAACTTCAGCAATCCCACTAAAGCCAGTGCGTGTGAAGGACAAGACAAATATCCCGCATATTGCCTTAGGAGACAGTTGGAGCAAATGCTGTTAGGGAGCACCTATTAAGGTTAGCATGACACACGAGAGGGTTGCGTGGCCAGAACCACACCTGGGCAACCTTTGGCTCCCCAGCGGCAATGTTCACACACCGCACCAGATACTCATTTGGGGCCGAGAAGACCTAGGGGCGGCCCAGAACCAGTTCAGATAATCGTCACTGATGTTGGCCGTGTTGTGTCCTTCCCACGTGAAGAACACAACACGCAGGTACAGAGCACTCTGGTTTAGCTCTTGGCCAATGCAAGGAGGAAAGCGCCTCTGTAAGAGGGTGTGTGAGGGGTGGGAGTGGGCACGTCGCCACAAACTGCTGCCTCGCCGGTGTTGCCAGCCCGCGGCGAGGCACCCAGCCCTCCACCTTCGCCGCGCGCAACGTGTGCCGTTTTAGCGCCTGCCATTTTCAAGGTTGATCCAGGGCCAGATGATGAAACTCCTCCTAACGCCACAATCATGGAGGCTCATGGCGTTGCAGGGTACGGTGGCGGTAACTGGGAAACGGGATGCGCTTAGCTCGCGCGACAGGTGCATGCTCTTACGCTAATGGTCCAGACCGTGAAAGATGCCAATTAACACTCGCGTATTCACAGGGTAAACATAGTTTTATTTCACGTTATTGAGGGTCATTAGTGTGGTCGGAATGCCATGTTTTTATTGCAAATTGACTATAATCCACAAAATAAAAGTTTAACGCATTGTATAACACAGCTTACATAATTTACATCAGCAGCGAAGTGAAGGCTTGAAAAAATGTGATTCTGCACAGTGCTACATAATTTTAAGGAAACTTAAGCTAGCTGCTGACCACTAGGCAAGTGGAAAGATCAAGAAGCTGCAGGCCAGACTCCACCGTTCTAAACTATGGCTAGCCAAAATAAATCAATTGGCATGAAGATGCCTTCTGATCCTCTTCATGCTAAGTTCCCACGGTCACTGATAAGCAGGCTTATAGATCCAGGAATGGTCTTGGGCCATTCTGGCACGTCTCAGATCTTGTCTGAAAGCTTTATGAGCCATTTCACACTATCGGCTCGGCCCTTCTCACATCGTCCCATTGGCGCCGGACACCATCCAACAAGATGCACTTGCACAAGACACTTGCCAAACCTTGAAACGCACTGCATACCAACCCACGCAGTAACCATGTTCTATTTGGATTACCTGCATTTGAACATGACGCAAGCTATTTTATGAAAACAGATACGCTCTCGCCAAGATTATTACGTCTCCATAGCACTGTAGTTAGGGGTACAGATAGGAAAGTTTTTTTGGCTTCAGTTTATTTTCAAGTAAGTTATTACGGCTATCGCTCATGGGCAAAAGCGACTTGTCTGCTAAATAATTACGTCACAGTCGTGAACATCATCATGTCGAGCAGAAGCCATTCTTCGCCGCGATCCCGCACAAACTTCAATGCGGCAGAGGAAAACGAACAGTTTACTGCAAAACCGGCTCCACAACTGAGCACACTAACCACTGGGCTGTGCTGCAGCTTAAATATTTAACTACTTGACTTTGGGCATGAACATTTTCACGTGTTAAACATAGGAAAATACTCGTGCTGCAAGTCGCACGTCATATGACCTTGGTGGATATTCTATTGACTTCCGGCTTCATTAGTCGCATGCTCAGGAAAGCAAAGCACTGAGCAGCTCATAAAAACTCTGCACTTGGGAGAGTGAGCTCAACATGCGTCCTTTAGCCCCATTATGCCTCCTTACACTGCAGAGCGATCAGGTGTGTTACAAGGCACAAGTCTGCAGCCAATTCGCATTAACAGTCTCAGGAGAACGCACTCCACTTGTACACATACACCTCCGCCAGAGCAATTACATAATGAATTATGTGACAATATCCAAAGAGTCAATTTAAACCAGTGCAATTATACAAATGTAAGGATTGCTACAGTGCCAGTGTATACATTTTGCACACAACTGGAACTTACAG